GCAGGCGCGGCGGGAGGAGGAGGAGGTGGAGGCGGAGGCGGAGGCGGAGGCGGAGGCGGAGGGCGGCCTCCCCGAAGCCGGCCCGCGCCTGCAGGAGGAGGCCATGAACAGCGACCGCACCGAGAGCGACTGGCAGGGGCTGGTGAGCGAGGTGAGGCCGAGGCGCCGGCCAAGCGGGATGCGCCGGGCCGAGCAGCCGCCAACCCCGGGCCCGCGCCCCCGGGGGCCGAGCCGGGGCAGGGACGCGCGGGAGACGCGCACCCGGTGGCCGCGGCGCGCTGCCCCCGCGCGACCCGCCAGGTGCGCCGCTCCTCCCGCGCTTCCCGGTCTACCGGGCGCCACTTTCTTCCGCGCCATCTGGTGCCAGCCTTTGGGGAGGGGCCTTCCCTCCGGCACAGGGATCCGGTGGAGAAGGAGCCAAGCCCCACCTGCCATCCTGGTCACCACTGTTTTGGAGCAGAACGATTGGACGCCCAGGGCTGAAGAGGAAAGGTGGTGCCAGGGAGGAAATCCGGGCCCTGGGGTGACACCCGGGCCAGATGGAATAACCTGCAGCGGAGGTTTGGGTGGGAGAGTTGGAGGTCCTCCGTAGCCTTCATTCATTCACTTATGCAGTTCAATCAACACATGTTTACTGCGGGCCTACTGTGTGTAAGGTGGTGAGCCATTTATCAAAGGAGTGAAACAGGTGCAGAAGTCATTCGCTTTGTGGAAGCAGAAAACACCATGTCCCCCAAACTATTTTGTCATAAACACCCCTGGGGGCTGCTTTTGGATCCCAGAAATTCTCCATTCTCTCGGTCAGGAGAATCATCCCCCATCCCCGAGGCCAACTTGGGCCTTCTTTTCCTTTACTCCTGTGCACACACTGCACGGTGTAATGGTTTGCTCTCTTCCTTGCTTTGTGGGGTTTTGGAAGGGAAGCCCTGTACGGTCTTCCTCCTTTAATCATTTTCTGGACCTCCAGGTCAGTCTGATAACAGTACTTAATGTCCAGTGTGTGCAAAGCGTTGTATTTCTGAAGAGGAATGAGATGTCATAGCTTCTCCCTAGTTTAGTTTGGTTACTCTGGGTCTAGTAGTTGAAAGCTCCTAACTGTACAGTATTACAATACATTGTACTGCAGCCTGTTCCTATCTCCTCTGACTATCAGGCTTTATGTCAAGGGACAGATCCTCTGGGAATCTTTTCTCCTGGCCCATTAAAAATCAGACCCAGTAGTCAAGGAGGCTGGAGGTGGTTCTTCATGGAAGTCCAGTGTTGGGCTCTGAAATAGGAGCAGAATGTTCATTACTCCAACAAGTACTTATCGAATGCCTGTTAGGGGTCAGGTGCATTGCTCGGTGCCTGGGATTCAGTGGTGAAGAAAACAGACAACCCCTTCTGCCCTCAAAGAACTCCTGGAGCATATGGTATAGTTTGGGAGGAGAGTCACAGTAAACACTAAGAGAATACTAAAGAACAGAATGTAAAGGATGGAAAAACCAAAGGAAGGAAGTGCTTAATTGCACAGATGTCCTTGGAGTGTGCCTCTCAGTGGTGGGCTCACCTCTGCCTTGCCCTGACCACACTGTGTTCTAGCCTAGTGGTCTCCTCACTAGGCTGTGTTTTATTTGGCTCTTTGTTCCAAGTGCTCACAAGCTGAGCTCCATGCAAAGCAGGTGGTCAACAGATGCTTGTAGAATAAGCCAAGATCCTGAAATGGGTCTTTCGGGAGTTGTCTTGCCTGTCCCAGCTGCATTTCTCCAGAGTAATGCCTTGTTGCCTTCCAAGGACATTCGTTAAAGGCATAGGATGTGGAAGGCACATAGTGAGGGGCTGTGGGGATGTGAAAAGGAATACAACACGCTTCCCACCTTTATAATAGCTAATGGCTATTTCTTTCCCCCCCCCAAAGCCCCAGTACATAGTTGTGTATAGTTATATCTTCTTCTGGTTCTTCTATGTGAGCCACCACCACAGCATGGCTACCAACAGATGAGTGGTGTGGTTCCACACCCGGGAACTGAACCCCGGCCGCTAAAGTGGAGCATGCCAAACTTAACTGCTAGGCCATCTGGACTGGCTCTAATGGCTATTTCTTGAGTCCATCCTCGATGTTAAGCATTTTACGTGGCCTCATTCTCATAATGGTATAAGGTAGGAATTATTTCTAATTTTACAGATAAAGAGACTGTGCTCAGACAGGCTAAGGAACTTGCTCAGAGCCTTACAGCTGGAGGGGGCAGAATTTAAACGCTGGTCTTTCTGACTCATGAGCCTGGGATCACTAGGCTACACTTTGTATTTTAACCATCGATCCATCTGTGTCTTCCACTAGACAGCAGATTCTCCATGGGAGGGGACCGTGTCTTATTCATCTTTGAATCCTCAGCAACTGGATTAAGTGTTTCTCAAAGTATGATCTATAGATCGCCTGCATCGGAGTGGGTTGAATTCTCCCCCCACCACAGATATGTCTAAGTCCTAATCTCCCCTGCCCCGACCCTCCTGAATATGACTGTATTTGCAAATAGAGACTTTGCAGATATTATCAAGTTAAGCATCTCAAGATGAGATCATCCTGGATTTAGGGTAGGCACTAAATAGAATGACTAGTGTCCTTTTAAGAAAAAGTAAAGATATTCAGAGATTCAAGGGAGAAGGCTACGGAAAGACAGAGACACACTGAGAGGAGGCCATATGAAGATGAAGGCAGAAATTGGAATTCTACAACAACAAGCCAAGGAATGCCAAGGGTTGCCAGCAGCCACCAGAAGCTGGAAGAGGCATGGAACAGATCCTGCTTCAGAGCCTCCAGAAGGAACCAATCCTGCTGACACCTTGATTTGGACTTCTGGCCTCCATAACTATGAGAAAATACATTTCTGTGTTTTAAGCTACCCAGTTTGTGGTACTTTGTTATGGCAGCCACAGGAAACTAATATACCTACAGCATGAAAGTGCCCGGGGGTGTAGCCTCTAAGTCTGCCTATCCCACAAACTGAGCTACTCAGGTGGTTCTCTGACCCACTCAAGTTTCGCTGGCCAGGTGTGGACTGGGTCCGGCGTGGAGAAACTGTCTGGTATTCAGCCAAGTAGGATTCAAGGAAGAGTGGGGTCAGTGGCTAGTGGTGTTTCAGAATGATTTTGGAACCCAGCCGAAGGCACTGGGGAAGATGTCACCAGACACCTGACCTGGGCCAAACGGGCTTTTTGATGGGCTCACATCTCTTTCTGCGGAAGTCCTGCTTCTACCTCCCGCCCTGGATCTGCACTCCTCTGCCCTTCCTGCCCAGAGCCCTGTGCTCTCTTTCCATCAGTTTGCTTCCTTCACTTGCCTGTGGGAAGCAGTTTTCATTTAAAATGATCCTACAGAGATCAGTTTTATTTTCCTATTTTTTGTATAACAAGCTGAAATTACAGCCTTCTCTCAGACCCTGAAGTAAACACGGACACGCACGTGAAAGAAGCACGGCAGGGGTCCTGTTTTGGAAATTAAATGTCTGGGGAGGGGACAGTGTTCTTCCTATCGCCACCTGAGGTGATCTTTCGAAATCTGGGGGAAATCTTGAAATGCAGCTGTGCAGATATCAATAACTTTATTTCCAAGATAAAAGTCCTGGTCCTCTGTCAGCCTACTGCCCTATGATAAACCATGCCTGATTCAATTTCACCATTTGAATTTTGGTTAATTAATTAGATTGCAGTACATCTCGTGTTCCTTGAGCGTGTGGTATGCAGTGGCTGTGAGGCAGAGAGAAAACAGTTAACCCTGGGCCTCTGTCCAGAGTAGAGCCACTGGCTTTTGGAAGAGAGGGGTCGAATAGGCATGTAGTCTGGCCCTGTGGTTAAGGGCGCAGCTTTGGGTCTCGGTTGTTGACTGAGATCTGAGAGTGAATCTTGGCTCTACTTCTTTCTTTTATTTTTATTATTTGTGCTGAGGAAGATTCACTCTGAGCTAACATCCATGCCAATCTTCCCCTATTTTTTTTTTTGTTTGGTATGTGGGCTGCCAGCACAGTATGGCTGCTAACAGAGCAGTGTAGGTCTGCACCCGGGAACTGAGCTGGGCTGCAGAAGCGGAGTGCACCAAACTTAACCACTAGGCCACCAGGGCTGGCTTCTACCTCTTTCTTGATGCTAATGATCAAAACAGGGAAATTTGGACACAGATGCACAGAGGGAAGACAATGTGAAGACACAGAAGAAAGAAGACCATGTCATGATGGAGGCAGAGCCTGGAGTTATGCAGCTGCAAGCCAAGGAATGCCAAAGGTGGCTGGCAACTACCAGAAGCTAGGAAGAGGCAAGGAAGGATCGGCCTCTAGAACCTTATTAGGGAGCATGGCCCTACTGACACCTTGATTTTGGACTTCTAGCCTCCAGGACTATCAGAGAATTAATTTCTGTTGTTTCAACCCACCCAGTTTATAGCAATTTGTTACAGCAGCCCTAGCAAACTAATACAGCAGATGTGACTAATAATTCCAAGATAGGGGTGGCTTTGGGCACAGCTGGATTCAACACTCATATGGACACTCTCTCTTCATCTTTGGGTCTGCTTGCTGCCTGGCTTCAGTCTCAGTCTCCGTCTCCCATTCTCCCAAGTACAACTCCAGAGAGGAAGACAGAAACTCTTATGTAGAGATCCCATAAAACCCCAAGAGTCATTCCATTTCAACCCACTTAGATCACTCGCCTGCCCTGGAAGAAATCGCTCAGGAGTTTAGTGATCTGATTGTCTTAGGCCTGGAGTTGTGCACAGAGCTCTGCCCAGAACACTTGGACTGTGAGTGGGTTGGGGCAGAAGAAGGGGAATGGACATGGAGGGGATCACGGCACCCTGCAACTTCTCTGAGCCTCGTTTTTCACATTTTTAAGTAGGATAATAGAGTACCTACCTCATAGGTGCTACAATTGTGAGGATCAAATGAAATAATGCTTGTTAGTCCTTTGCTCTCTGCCTGGCAAGTAGTAAGTGTTTAGTGAATATTAGTACAGTGAGGGTGAACTTCAGGTGTTCATGACATGAAAACTTCTTTATTTGGCTATAACATCTTAATTTAGATGACAAATTCTCATTGTAAGGGTAGTGGAAATGTAATCTGGACTGGAGTTATGCCTCTCCTTTTCCCTGATTTGTATTTAAGTTCTGGGGCTTAAGTAGTA